TGCACCAAATCATCATATTAGACTGATTTCTGAAGAAACATGTGACACTGAAGACTGGAGTAATGGCTGCTAAAATTCATAAAATAAAATACATTTTAAAATATATTCAAATTGAAAACATTTATTTTAAATATTTCACAATATTGCTGTTTTACTGTATTTTTAATCATATAAAGTCAGCCTTGGTGAGCATAATAGATAAAAATCTTACCAACCCCAAACTTTTGAACCGTAGTATAAACATCCAAATTCTTTTTAAATGTACAGAGGCTATATTTTACTCGAATTTGCAACAAGTAAAATATTTCTAGACCTGTCTTTGGTTTATTTTAAACAGATTTGAAATGGTAAACATTTGTTAAGATTTTATCAGCAGCTTTTGTTTGCAGTTTCAGAATAATTCATTAAGTTAATTGCTTTTCTGTTTGTGAATCTGCTTATAAATGTGCCCTTAAAGCGGTTTTAAAGCCTTTAAATAAAGAGGTGAAATTGCCTTTGATTGAACTTTTATTGTCACAGTTAAATGTTAGGTGGGCCTTTCCAGTGACGCACAGAAAAAGATCGAAGGACAAGTACTGTGAAGTATAAAGTGTAATGTTGAAAGGAGACTTGTTTCAAAGGATGAACTAGGCAGAAATAGCCCTTTGTGATGGCCTATATAGATCTAAGGCATTGTTTTTGTCTTACCTATACCTTTATTTAATTAAGAGGATATTTTTAATGTATTATCTTGAGCATGTGCCACAGACCAAATGCAAATTTCATGAATACTCCCACTTATTCTTTTCTGACATTATGAACTCACATGCATATGACTAATGTGGAAAGACTTGAAACACCCATTTACATCAATGCTAATGTGCCCAAATACATTGTGTGATGCCTATTGGGATGCAGATGTAGCTTTTGTTCATGGAAGTTCCCCATCAGGTTTCATCTAGAAGTTGTTTTCTATACTCGTCTTGATCATATTCTCTCATACATTTATAAAAGAGGAAACATTAAACTGCTGTCAGGTCAGTACAGAGGCTTAGAAATGACAAATTGCCTCAGACAGAAACATTGTTCTTGTTGATTTAAAGTTTCAAACAAGTAATTTTAAGCCTTGTCATCCAGCATTGCATTTTTGCTCAACGTCCAAGAGATTACTTTTCCACGAAAATTCTAGTTAATGTTATCGCATTGGACTGAAACCTACTGATTTTGCTCTCACACAACTTCCAAAAACGTTTTGAGTTAGGCTACATTTCTCTACACTTATAGTGCACCCAGTCAAAAATGACTGGCAAAAAAAGCTTATATATTTATTGTTATGTTATATTATTAGCTTGGACTCAATCTTTGTATAAACTTGTAAACGTATAAACTTTTTGGAAATGACTGATCGTAGGCTTTATTGACCTGAGTTTATTCACCTCAGTTTTTTGAGTGAATGCAAAAGGTGCAAAAGCTCAGATCAATGAGAACTGCGATTAGTTCCAAAAAGAAATACTAAACGTGCTAATTGAAAGAAAACAAGTTGATAAAAAAGATTGAATACAAGATTTGGTGATAATAGCATAATGAGAAATATACAATAACTTTTTAAAAGGCCTGTCATTTTTGCCCGCGAATGCCATATTAGGACAATTTTAAATTATTTTCAGCACAGTGCACTAATATTTTTATGTCAGTATTCCTAGTTTAGATGTATTGATTTTTCTAGTGCACGGTTATCCTATTTCCACTTTTTCAAGTTATTTGGCTTTGCATCATAAATGTATCCACCAACGCATTATATGAGCAGCTTTTCTTGTGGGCAGTTGTGATTGGTCTTCCGAGAACCATATGCTTGGAGAATTTGAGGAAAGCATGATGGTGGATCGGTGCAAAAGGGCAGCATCTACCTGGAGACACAGTTGTTTTTAAAAGTGCATTGCAAGTAGTGATTAGTATTTTCTGAGAAGAAGGCAGCAGTACTGTCTATATTTTTCTGAGAGATGCTAAGCAAAAAGCCACTTCTCTGATCTTCTCGTTTGCAAACAGCGGTGCCTTTGAGTTTGGAGACGGTGCAAGCAACTGCCTGCAGCGCTGCAGAATTAACTGAACCAGTGATGCTGCGAGATATAACTTGAGCAACACAAACAAACCACAATTTATGATAGATTGCAAACAGCACTTGATACACAAAGTATTTTCAAACTTT